TCCCTCTCACGGCGCAGGCAAGCCCCGGTCGGGTTTCCTCCTCAGAGCTGCTTTTGCAGCGTTATTTTTGACCAGAAGCCGGTTTAATTCCCCGTTCTGCACATAAATCCACTTCTGGTTCCCCATCGCCAGCTACGACGATGCAGAAAGCTCAAACAAATAGCAAAAAACCCCACAATAATATTGCAATGATACTGTTTGAATTCAGTCATAACCGTTTCAATTACACATATGCTCCCATCCCCTCCCTTCAACAAAATTCAGAAGTCGACAGTTTACTGCTCTCATATTTATTCTTGACAGATAAATGTGCATAATTAAAAGCGTTAGAAAAATCAGCGTCTGTATTTCGGAAGGATTACATGGCCTCGCCTTGCAGAGCCCCGTCTCAGTCCCTCCCGACGAGGTGCGTCTCCGGGGGCCTGTCGATGCGGAAGAGCAGCTCGGCGGGCAGGAGGTACCCCAGGTACTGCACGCTGTCGGGGCTGGTGTCCTGGTGGTAGTGCCCCCCTTCCCCATGGTGGCTGAAGCAGTGGGTGTGCTCCACACGCAGGTCAAAGCCCTGTCATCAGAGAAATGCCCATCAACACACGTTCATGTGAACCACGGTGAAAAGTCCTGGGTGGTCTCTCCTTTATACCACATATTTCCACACATCTCAGAGCTCACTCCAACCATTAAGTTGTGAAAACTTGCAAGATCTTGTGATAAGACAGAAGAAGAGGAGCTGTACACGGCTTTACCATAGGACAAAGAGAAAAGAATTTAGAAACCCTGACAGCCCCCAACTTGGTGTCAGTCCTCCAGGGATTTCTTTTTTTCCCCCCCTTTCTTTCCACTGGGGTTAAATAAAGCAGGAACCTCTATGGGAAATCAGAACCCCTTTGCGCTGAATATCACAGACCCATGCGATAAGGGACAATCTCTATTCCAATTCCGAGAGCCAGCTTAGATGAAAATTGGAAGTATAGCAAATAAAATAACTAGCATAGTAACAGTGACATCACCCCCACCAATTTTACATATCATAGAATTGTTTGGGTCGGAAGGGACCTTAAAGACCATCTAGTTCCAACCCCCCTGCCATGGGCAGGGACACCTTCCACCAGACCAGGTTGCTCCAAGCCCCATCCAGCCTGGCCTTGAGCACTGCCAGGGAGGGGGCAGCCACAGCTTCTCTGGGCAACCTGTGCCAGTGTCTGACCAGGTTCTCAGCCTAAAAAAGCTTTTGCTTATGTCATATCTAAGCCTGCGCTCTTTCAGCTTAAAACCCTTGCCCCTTCTCCTGTCGCTATAGGCCCTGGTAAACAGTTTCTCTCCATCTTTCTTATAGTCCCCCTTTAAGTACTGGAAGGCCCCTATAAGGTCTCCCCAGAGCCTTCTCTTCTCCAGGCTGAACAACCCCAACTCTCTCAGCCTGTCCTCACAGGAGAGGTGCTCCAGCCCCCTCATCATCTCCATGGCCCTCCTCTGGACCCACTCGAGCAGGTCCTTATACTTCTTGGGGCCCAGAGCTAGATGCAGCACTCCAGGGGTGTCTCACAAGAGGGAGAATCACCTCCCTCGACCTGCTGGTCAGGCTTCTTTTGATGCAGCCCAGGATACAGTTGGTTTTCTGGGCTGCAAGAGGATACTGCTGAGTAATGCTATGGCATTTGCCATCTGCTGCTGCTGCTGTCTCTGTAGTGACACTCAAACATTTCCAAAACCACAGGCTTAGCCGAGTGCTGTTGAGCTTGCAGTGGACACAGATGGGAGTAACCCAGCTGCATCCACTACCCAAGCTGCATTGGTTCTGAGTGGAGCAGCTGTTGATGGCTGTTTTCAAAGTACTCATCGGTTGCTTCTAGGAAGATGCACACAATTTAGCCTTAGGCCAAAGGCTGCCACATAATGACACAATAAAGTCACACGCTTGAAGATATTCAAGCCTACAGCATGTCCCATTTAACTCTGGAAAAAATGGGGTTTATATTACTTATGACTGCATTGTTATTTATAAAACAGTCATTTTCATCCATGGTCTCCTGGTTACTTTTAAATAAATAGCCTTCCTAACGATGAACATCTTAATGGCTTTTGAAACCAGATTGTTTTTTATCCTGCATCATTTGCTGTTGACTAGTGCTTGTGAAAGATTCTAGCTAACTTTCCAGCATGAGGCATTGCAGACTTCCATTTTCATTGGCCACCGAGACACACGCTTCGCATATTTCAACACAGCATTAGCAGACAGCTCCTGCGAAAGTGAACTGCATGAACACCTGGCTGAACAAGCTTCCGTGCTCCTGACATTTCTCCTGGTGTGGCCACGGCTGAATGCAAACTATGCTGTTGGGTCTGGGATGCAAACACTCACACACTTGCAACGGGAACTGAACCATTAAGTTCAGCCCACTATGAACAGCCACTAGGTTTCAGAACAGATTGACCTAGCCTCCATTCAAATCAGTGACAGAAATGAGAAGCTTCTATTTTATTATACCACCTCTAACTAAGAGTCTAACTCCTGTTCTTAAAAGGAAAAGCACATCCAAGACAAATTCATTACAAGTCTCAGTTTACACTCAGAAATGACAAAGACTCACTGGATCTCTGGAAACTATTACTGGTTGACAAATCAGTGGAGCCTTCATTTCAAAGAATTTGAGCCAGTTATTCACATCCTCATCGGTATTCAGAGGACAGACAGAAAATTCTGGAGGCTACAAAAAAAGTAAAAGCTTTATAAGTGAAAGGAAGACACTTGTATCAAGACACTTCAACTTTCCTTCACTTTTCCCCTCCCCACTATTCTGTTCACATTCCTTCTTGCCTAAAAGAAGCTCACCAGCGCCCATTACTGTGTTTATGACAGAAACAGAAGTGACCAGAATATTGCTTCTGCCATTGCACCTGTAGTGGGAGAACTACTGAAGTGAGGATTCTCCTCCTGGTACATTTTAGAAACTCAGTTATTTAAAAAAAAAAAAAAAGTCTATTGCTTCTTCTAAGTATCATCTCAGTTCATGTACTCCAATTCATTTTACAATAGTTCTACAGTTCTTTAGCTGCCCACAGATTTCAAAAGATGACGGTATTAAGGTGAAGTAATACAGCACCACTAGTTCTGTAATGTCAGCTCCTTACTTTAAGACATTGCTTATCCCAACAGTTTATGCCTACATTTAAATATGCGAAACAAAGCCAAAGGTTACACGCTCATTTATACTTCTGTTTTCAGAAGGATGAAGAAAGAGGAACTGAGAACAACTTACCATAACATGAATCTTTGCTTTCCCCTTCTGGATGATAAATGTACCACCCATCCCAACTGGCTTTTCTCCATAGTGTTTCTCTAAAACTTGTCTCAGACAAGACACAAAGTTAAGTTCCCCAGTTCTTCCATTGGCTTTCACTTCAATGACCTGGAGAATAAAGCTAATTTGTCGCTGCTGTCTCCCGCTGCAAGAGTCTGTAAAGGTCCGTGAAAGTGCTCTGAAATTCTCCCAAGCTTATAACCCAAGATTATTTTTGAAACTCTGAGTTTCCCTGAAAGTGCTGCTCCACGTGCATCCCTCCAGTACCTCACTAAGTCTCTTTTCTGACTTCGTGCTCAATGCTAGCTTTGCCTCTGAAGGGCACTGAGCAGCAAGTCATCGACTTGTAAGTGAGACAAGGATTCAACCAATGCCTTTCTGTCCACCAGCTGGCTTCCAGCTTATAAAGAAACTCTTGGAAACAGAGAAGACTGCTCAGTTTCCGTGCAGAACTCAGTTTTTTAACTGCTCTGCCAACACCTCTTTGTGGTAGCTGCGTTGGGGGAAGCTCTTCTACAAAAAAAAACCAGACACGTGCCCAGACCCGACTTACACAAGTACATTGTACAACTATTACCTTAAATCACTGCTAGTTTGGAATGCATTTGGGTGACGAGTTACGATGGAAATAAACTAATCCTTATCCCGCAAAAATTCAAATGCCTCTCTGTCTCCACCAATTCTTCCCCTTACGTTTGGATCTTTCTTTCATGGAATTACTACTTTACTATTATCAGAGAAAAATGATAGGAGAACACCGAAATACCAGTTCCCCTTCAGCCACAAAGCTGTACAAGCAAAGTCACCTTCTGCCCAAGTACATACCTTACCAGGTTGGCCCTCGCTGGCATAAAGGTTGGCCAACAGCCCAAACTCACAGTCAGTGTATTTACTGCTGTACTTCTCGAGCAGGCACCCTTTATCCGCAGGATTTATCTGAGCAATGTAGCTCCCATTCACAGCAGGCTTTTTTTCACTCTTAGTTTGAACAATAGGGATAAGCTGAGAAAAAGAACATGTAGGAATAAGTAAGTCAGTAAGAACATGTAAGAGTCAGTCAAATGAACAGAACCTCACAAATGCAATTTAAGCTTTGGACCATGATCCCAAGAAATAATCCCCTTCATCACACAGCTCTTTCTCTGAGGATGAGGTCCCATACTAGTAAGAAAAATGCACTAATATTGTAACTGAAAACTCCAGAAAACAGTTTTATTTTTTCTGGACAGTTAAATTCAATGTTACATGAAGATGAACGCTGGTGTTAAAAAAATAAAGACAAAAAAAGATGAAATAAGTCTAACCATTGAGATCTCAGGCCTGCATGCAAGTATTGGAATTCTACGTAATACTTTCTCAGTGTACAATAACAACCACTATTACAGTGGCCCAAATTTAATGCTGAGTGGATCTCATCTGCCAATAAACGCACCAAAAGGAGACCGCAAGACCAGAGGTTTATGCTTGAAACTTGACTAACCAAAGCCTCCATAGGCAGTAGCTTTCGTCTCCCGCCTCTCCTGCAGGTCATCATTTTGTACCTGGTACCTTTAAAATTTACAATGGTAAAACTAAGCCATCCAAGAGAGCAAAAGACAGGAGTATTTCAAAGGCATTTACCAGAAACTTTGACAATAATTTCTAAATCACATCATTAAAACCTCTGGTCAAGTCTTTTGTCATTCAGTTTCAAAAAAATCATGTTTCTTGTGTGCTTCAAAGTAATCACATGCTTCCTGGAGAATTATAAGTTAAAAATTAATCTTTATTACCTCAATAGGATGTGCCTCATTGGATGGCCCTCACCTGAATTCCTTCTAATGTGTTATGTGCTTTTGTGTTATGTGTTATGTACATGAATGGTGTTTATTGAATGTTCTGCTGTAAATGGGAAATAGCCAGCATGATACTGCTCTACTATCATGATACTGCTCTACTATCATGATACTTCCATGAACTCATTAAGAACCATCGCGCTTATTTACCGACCTCAGCATTTACTCCAAGAATCTTAGATGAAGCAGCTCCAGCTCCAAGAATGAAAGCTCCAGGCAGCTCTATGTCTTTTGCAACTGTATTTAGATCATAAACCTGCAAAGGAGAAACACTCCTTCGATTTTGGTGTAGTGCTCTGATTTGGAATTGTCGTTCTGTTCACAGTAACCTCTGAATGCATTTAATTCACAATGCCCTCATTAGCATTTTGGATAATTAGATTGAACGCAGTTTCTGAACAACATAACATTTGGTAGTAACAGCTTTGGTCCATGTCCATCTGTTTTCTGATGTATGTTTTCTGCCTGTATGTTACCCCAAAACTAAATTATCGTTCTTATTGAAATTCATATTTGTGTAAAAAAAAAAAAAGTAAGGTAATATACTATAGAGACAGACGGGGTGAGGTGTCAAGAGGCAAAATATTCTTGGAAAAGGACAGTAATGTGAATCCAGTGTTGGCCTGAAAACGCAAACACAGCCAGTATTTACAAAGAAGCGTGGCTGTGACTTGAAACCACAGGCATGTAGCAAGCCATATACGAACCTGCAGACAAGACCCTTGTTCAGTAGTTCCTTCCATGGCTCTTGTCACAGATGGGATGTTTCCAAAATTATCTTGTATTTGGACAGGAGAAGATGAACCATCACCCACCACATGCTTTTTTTGCTATGATGTGTAAGATTTCCTGACATAGTCCATATCTAACAGATGTCAGAATCAATCTCATTAAACACTGAAAAGTAAGTCTCTTTCACAAGTGGAATCTTATAGTACCCGTTAGTCCTTAGCTCTGTTTATATTTCAACAAGATACTGCTTTTCTTTTGACAAATGTATTAAACCCCATGGCTACAGGAAAAACTCACTTTTTCTTTCTGTACAACAGGTATGAGGTAAGGAACACCTCCCACATCTGCTATTCTAGGCTTTCCGCAGATTCCTGGAAGAACACAGCCCGTTAGCTTGGCAAAATATTTTTTCCTAATAAGCATGCAGTCTAACCCACCAAAGGACTGGTTCCTCAAACTTCTAAAATGCTTTGAGAGCACCATTTCCCTGGCATGCTCAGATAAGGTGTGGCATTATTAAGAAGTCCAAGGACAGCAAGCCCTAAAATGATACATGGTAGGATTTAATGTTAGGCAACCTGTTGTAAAATTAATGTTTTCTAAGCACAAAAGAATATTACAATCCATCTCTCCAGTGAGATGCCCTCACCACACAGTGGATACCCCCACTGGGACTCCACTTGCAAAACGTCACCAAAGCTGGATGCCCAAGCGACAGGACAACCCATCTCACTTATTTGGACACGCACTCTAGGAAGGGATGAGTCACCTTCTGGAGGCGTTTCTTTCACTACATTGATGACAGAGGGAACTCAGATGAGTAGCACAGACAACATGTCTGTCTTCCAGACAGCTAATGTCAAAGAAGATGAATCCCACTCAGAATAAGACCGTTTCACTTCACCAACAAACATGAATGGCAGCAATCTAAAAATTAATGGAAGCACAGCTCCTTAGGTTCACATAGCGATTGACATGGATCTAAAACATTTCTCCATCTGGAAGATAAAACTTAATTTCAAAACCTTTTCAGTACATTAAATAAAGCTGATGAAATAAGTGAGTACTGCAATCATTGGTTAAGAAAAAAAAACATGACAAGTACTTGGTAATGACTTGTCCTTGTTCATACATCAACTAGGAAGCAAATCCAGAAATAAAACGTAGCTTTCCTCTCACTCACATTCTTTACCTGAAAAACAATTTAAGCTCTCCCAATACCTTTAGAAGATCAAAACCAAGTAGGATCAGGTAGAAAGAACTGGAGATGTCTTAGTGGAAGACAGGAATGCTAGGTTACCTTTAGCAGGAAAGTTGAAGGGTTCCTGAGTCAGATCAGGACAGTCTACAACAGAGACTTGAGCATCAGCAAAGTTTTCTTTAAGCCCTTTCTGCAAAACTAGAATAATAATGGCAAAGTTATTGACAATGAAAAATTACCAAGAGTTTGACAAGTCACTAACAACAACAAATATATCTGTTTAGGCTTTATTTCAGCAAGACACAGTAAAGTTGATTTAAATGCTACTGTTTGTAGGCACTTGCTTCCTGAGTCAGAGCTTCAGAGAGCAAAAGCTTGTTCAGATAATTGTTAGCTACCACGTTAATTAAGAATTTGAAAAAACCTTTTAATTGAAATACAATAACTGACTGCTCCTAGCAGCACTAGGAGCAGCACAATGTGAAGTAACATGGGTAAACTTAAACCACGTTCAGCAGTGGTTTTGCTTCACAAGAGCAGACAATTACGATCATGGTCAAATACCACGCGAGAGCAAAGGAGGAAGAAAGGTTTAGCTGAAGTGACAATCAGTTCTGAAGTGACAATCAGTTCTTTAAATATACTAACTAGACTGTTTGCAATTGCTTGATTATAATCTCAAGCTGTTTCTGCTGTCTGGAAACTTCTGCTGTCGCAGGATATTGCCTGTAATGTCTATGTTCAAGCGGAAATGTTCTGGAAAGCGCCACTGTCAGATAATGAACGGTGCTGATGATAGTGAACGGCCCCAAATCTAAACTTTTGGGTTTGCTTCCTATCAATGCTTTTAGGCTCAGAACCTGCAAAGTCACTCAAACAACAGGGAGGATTCTGACTTAGACAAGTGCACTGTTTGGAAACAACTTCCAAACCTCAGTTAAGTGTGGGATTGCCTTCACAGACACTGCTTCAAATACCGTGTTAAAAGGTCCAAGTTCTTTCATGCCTGGGGTCTGCTCTGACAGATGTCTCAAACTAAGGAACGGAAAAATCCAGTCAGCAACCTAAATTCCAGCAGTTCCTTATTTACTCAGAAGACTTTCCTGTGCCTTTGTTTCCTCCAGTCAGCTGTACCTTACTTCTCGGGAGCAGATTTACCAAGCTGTTGACCACAAGGGTCAGCAGAAGGCACTTGGCAGGTTTCTAACTACATCTCAGTACCCTTCTGGTAAGTGGAAGAGAACAAGGAAAGGGAACTCCTCAAATTATACTCAAGAGCTAACAGAAACCAAATTTACAGCTTACAGAAGGTCTCCAGGACAGATGGGGGGTTGAGGGCAGGGGGCGGCAGGTAGGCGGGAAGGAAAATTCTCCTTCATGGCCCATCTTTTCTGCGACTGTTTTAAGCTGTTCTCCTGCAAGTACAGGCTGTTATCTGCTGAGCCCACACGTCTGTAGCAGCCCTGGCCTATTGCCCCAGCCTGACAGCTGCTGGGTGAGAAAAGCCCTGAGAACCGCTGCTGGGACCACACTTCTCAAAGCATAGAAACGTCACACAGACACAGATTTGGGAGGGTGGCAGACTGAACTTGAGGACCTCTCTGAAAGAAGAATACCCCTTAGTACATGTGCTCCAGGAGACAGACTACTAGAAGGAATAATTAATGCCTTTCTATTAGGGCAAGGAAGGAAGCTCATGAGCAGGTGGGTTGGACCAAATCTCCTCCAGAGGTCCCTTCCAACCTGAACCACTCTGTTATTCTGAGCACATTTTGTGCAGGCTTTGGAAAGAAACAAACTAAATGTTTCCTGCAGCCCAGTTCTAAGGCAAACATCAAAAGAGGAGCCAACTAGGTTCAAGCAAGAGGACCTGCATGCTATACTGCATCTGGTCAGCTGTGTTTTGAGTAGTCCTGAAGAAGAAACAAACACTGGAGTGTAGAAGGCGGACGATCCTGTATGTGTAAATAAGTTTGCTCTGCAATTGCCAAACTTTCACAACCCACGTGCAAATCTGCAAATGCAGCAGACAGTTTTAAATGGTTTGAGAACCTGTTTGCGTGCTTAAATATCATTTGTTTGGGGGAGGAGGCATTGTTTGCCTTAAGGAAATAGCATATAGAAACTAGTGCTTTTCTTTACATCTCAGTGTGCTAAGAGCAGGAACTTCTGCATGTACCAGCTGTAGAAAGGTTTTGATAAGAGCTTTAAGATAAGTTTGAAGAGTACATTATAAGTTTGTAAAAGGTAACACACTGCATGACTTACCCCCAGCAAGCTCCTCCAGACTTGGAACATGAAAAGCAAACCTTTCAACTTTGGCCATTTCCTAATTGGTACTGATTTCTTCAGGTAAGAAGTTACAATATATCACCCTGCAGGAGTGACTGACCTGTCAACAAGGATAACAGTTAACGATTAAAACAGCCTGTTTGCAATATGTTACTTATTTTTCAATTCCACTCAAGAATATATAGACAACAGTAGAATTGTAGTTGTGCCATCAAAGGAAAGCATAACAGCTTCGACGTTAATGCTAATTTTCTTGATTTTCTTATGCGCTTCGGAAGATGTGCCTGTCAGCTCTATGGCTGGCTCAGAGCCTCACATATGCTAGTCCTCAAGCTTACAGCTGGGCGTAGGCAAAACACATCCTACGCTGAATCCAGTTCAAGGCACAGGTCAGGAGATTTATCTGTCCTTTGGAGTCATAATTTGTTTTTTGAAAGAAAACTGGGCTTTACTGACACATTAGCTGCCTCCTTGGGTCTTCGCTACCTTAATGTTTACTTTCTCAGCATTGGCTATGGTGGACTTTCAACCTCAGCTGTAACATGCTCTCCAACTGATTCTGGGCATGTGCTTCCCCTTCCAGAGGGGAACAGGCTAGCAGCAAAACAGAAAACAGCAGCAGCAAGTTCTGCAGTACCAGGTTCTGTACAGGTACAGAGCCTGTAACAAAGAGGTTTTTTTGAACCTCAGTTTAAGAACCCCTTTACAAATGAACTGTGTTTCAGTCAGCCTTGCAACAGCAAAGTCAGCTACTAGGGCAAACCACTTGCTCAGGGCAGAAACAGCTGATTATATGCTACCCATAAATCAGCCACAACAATCATTAACTCCTTAGGCACACGCTTGCTGCACACAGCGGAAAAAGAAAATGGGTCCCATTTATCCAGACCTCAGGCCTTGGAGGAAAAAGCCAAAAACTTCACCTAACTGAAGTCTTTGAGCTCAAAGTTCAGCCCCCCCAAATTACTGCTGCAGCAAGCAGTAGAGAAAGGGAGAAAGACAGCTACCCATGCACAGTAATTCTCATCTTAGTTGGTCTTATCCATCTCCACAGGTGACTCCCTCTCTTCTCTGGCTATGGAGGAGAAAGCAACAGGATGGATTTGGTGCTTCAAGTAGAAGCCTACTGTCAGATGGAGTGAATCATACCCCAAGACTTTCACAGAACACCAGAAAGGGAGTAATTAGCCAGAGAAAGAAAGTGAGAAGATGGCTTTGGCAGCACTGTTTTAGAAGATCCTCATCCCCTCAAGACCCTTTTGCCATGTCCAGAATGAGGCTGTGCCAGCACTCAAGACACTAGTTGAAAGAGTCCTGAAACGGACTGAGAAGACAGGCTAGAACTGCTGTTGTGCAAAAGGCAAAGGCAAGACCTGGACATAGTGCAAGTAAGTAGGCTCAGATAGAACACCTAGACCATCACCTACTGTTTAAAGGACAGTAGTCAGCTCCCCACAATCAAGAAAAGAGGGAAAGACTGTGGGAAAAGCTCAATGGACCATAATGAACCCAATCTGATTACTAGACAGTAGTCCTTACCAGGAAGGACACAAAAGAGAAGTAGATCCGTGAGTCACCACCACAAGGAGAGCATTCACAGGGGAGTCTGTGTGGCGTGCGAGAGGGAGAACCTGAAAAGAGACAACAGCCAATTAAGATCGATCACAGAGGGATGGAGTGACATTGAATTACTACCAAAGACTTTCAAAGAAAGAACGCAAATGCTAAAGGGACAATAAGATTATTAGATCTGGGATAGTGCAACAAGAATGGAGAGAACAAGCATCTGAAAAGACTTTTAAAAGTCTACCTTTTTGAAGCAGAAGGAAAACATTACAGAGAGTAGTCAAGTGCCAGGAGAATGGAACCATGATAATAATGGGGGGGTGGGGGGTGTGTTTGCCTAGTATCAAAACCTGAATTAAAACTAGTTTGGAGAGTAGGAACCAGAATGGAGAGGTTATAGACAGGCTACAGATGAGTCAAGGGGAGGGCGTGGGGGGGAATATCAGAGAAAAAACTGAAGACAGCAGTCAGTGAGAGAAAAGAAACTTAGCGATGACATCAAGAGCAGCAAAACATCTACAGATGCATCGGCAGAGGCTGTATTCCTCAACCGGGGCAATGTAAGGAGATCCCATACGTGGCAGGGAAAGGCTGCAGGACAGAAGCGGCACCTGCTCGAGCGGCTGGGATTTGGGGAAGGGTCATGGCGAGGCAAAACCAGGAGACTGGGGCCCCTACAGAGAGCATCCAGACAGACAAAGGCAGCAAAGAGCGCTGGAGCGAAGAAACACCGAAGCCCACACTGCACTTGGCACGGCTGCGAGAGGACAGAGGGAGCACCGAGGCTGGAGCCGCCAGCGCGGGGCAGCCTGCGCGGCAGAGGGAAGGAGGCAGGACAGCGGTAACGAGAGGCCGACCGGTGCGACGAGCAGCTCCTCGGAGTCCCACCGCGAGCGGGAAGCGCGGGAACTGCGCCCTGAAGGGGAGCCCGGAACCCCCCG